ATCGGGGATGGGCATCCGCGGTGCCGTTGGAGATGCTGTTGCGGCGGGCCTGATGGATATTCGCAAGGAGATCGACATAAACACCATGGGCCCAAGACAAGACCTTTTCTTTGAATTCCACGTTAGCTGCTACAGCAGGCCCTGGCCGTTGGAACCCATGTGTTGGCGGGCGGCTGTTCCAGGTGATAGGATCATTCAGAGGCTGCGGCGCTTGCGGTGGAAATGCCGATGCAGGTCGGTTGACACGGGCGTGGTAAGGTAGTTGATCGGAATGGCGTGGAGGAAAGTGGGTTTTCATGAGAGGATCCTGGGGTAATCCGGGCATAGATTGACCCCATGCAAGCCCCGGGTCTGCACGACTGCCTAACGGCACTTGGGGTTGGTTAAATACCGGCTGGTTCAGGTCATAAAAAGGCTGGCCCGTAGGGCTCAGCTGCTTTGCAAACGGGGTCGGGGATTCGTAACGTGCATCACGGAAGGCAGCAGGACGGTATGGGATATACACCCCGTCCGGCCAATACGGTCCATAGGGACCACCGCCCGCCGAAGCGGTTGGTCCAAGGCATGACTGTAGAGTTGCTGGGAGGACTGTGGGCACATATGCCCCGTTCTGTAAAAGTATGCGTTGATTTCCATGCAGAGGTAGACTCTGATTTAAGACCGAGTCCACCCCCGGTGGATAGTTGACCGGACGAACCCAACTAGTCCCATTCGCATCCTGAATAACTTCGCCAGGCATCGCATTGCCGTCGTTTTTGAAGACCGGGGGAAAGTTCATGTGTTTGGTGGCGGATTGGTCCAACATGGGCTGCCAATTTTCGGGCTGCATCCCAGCCTGGGACAGAAATTGGCCCGATTCCATCGGCGAGACCAAGATGTGCTTGGGTGCTGGCTGGATTGTGGTATCGCCCGGAGTCCCATCGTACCCCGCGGCCAGAGTTCCGTTGGGAGTCTTCCGTCGCAGGGCATGTTCCCCCCCATTTGCGGTGGAGCTGGAACCTGACGCATCGCGGGAATCGAGACGTTGCACCGGGTGGGGGAGTTGGAGGCGCGATCGAGAGAGTGGGTTCAAGAAGGATTTGGAGGGGTCGTTGCGAAAGGGGAGACTGTCGCTCGCACCGTACATGGGCTGAGAGCCATCGTGAGTCGGGTAGTGGTGTGTGCGGTGGTGCGGTTGGACCGTGGGGAAAGGCGCGACGGTTGGAATCATCTTCACGAGTCTTGGGAGGTACCTCGATGCCGAGGGCACAGCCAAAGACTTTAACACATCAAACGGGACATTCAACTATCATCCTTGAAACGTTTCCGATGCCTCATTATGTGATGCCAGCACTGGAGATGTGAAGCAGCTTTCACGTCATTCGATAAGGACAGGTGGAAAAGAGAAAGACGCAAGGGAGACAGAATGTCCAGCCCACGATGTTGGTATCCGAGAGGATCAGCCAATAAAAGGCGATCTTGGCGAGGATTGCACAGGGGATAATGAAGGAGGTCACAGAGGGAAAGGCAAAGGAGAGAGGTGAGGAAGAAAAGATCAAAGTTGAAGCTGAAAGCGCAGTGGATTCGGGTGGGGGGTGAGAATCGAAGTAAATTAATAGTGCAGGCAACAAACTATAACTTAGTAACTTAGATGGAATAGTAATAGGATAGAGTATAGAGTATAGAGTATAGAGTATATAATTTATAACATAACTGCTATTCACTGCTAAATACCTCTCTATAACTACTAACCCATCGCCATCGCCATTCACCATAGCCTCACCTCGCAACTCAACTCATCACCTCGACCCACATCCAACGGTCTCTCTGGCCATCCAGACGCCCTAGTGGATCATTGGCTCCATAGCTAAGGCCCCGCCGATAATCGAGTGCCCGTTCACGGATTCTGCTATACTCCGTCGAGTATGAGGTTCTATCTCTTTGACTATACTCAACACTCAACGTTTCAACAAGACTTCAACCACACTCCTTCATCACTCCTTCAACACTCCTCTCCTATAAATATATAACCGCTCAAGCCCATGTCGCCCCCTGCCGCCTCACCTCCGATCCTTTCCTAACCCGGCTGAATTCTGGGGTTAGCAAGGGAGGACTATTTTCCCCTTTGATTCGTATTATCTGAATACCTGGACTTTAACTACTGCAGATCCTCATATCAGAGTCCACATGTCTCTAGACACTGCACACGGTCGCACTCCAAGTCACCGAGAATCTATGTCACAAGTCGAGATCAGCACACCCTGTCGCGTCCTTGGCCTGCACGACGTTCCTCTGTGGATGCGAGTCGGGTAGTACAAGAGAAGGCAGAATCAAACAAGGAGTAATAATAAATAATAAATACTCTGCATTGTAGGTCATATTAAGAGAGACAGACAAGAATCACAGAGACAGAGAAGAAGAGAAACAGAAGACACGGACAGATCCACACGATATTCCCCGGCTCCATTCGTCCCAGTTATCCCAGGGCACTTGTTCCATGGCCTCAATAGACTGCGCCAAACAGGATGGAGAAAACACGAAAATCAAAGCGATCAGCGCTGCTCCACATGTGGATGAGCACGAACATCGTCTTATGAGGGGGTGATCACCGGTGGAGTATGATGATTAGTGAAAAAAAATATATAAAATTACACGTCTCACACCGGTGAGCCACGTAGGTCCACATATACAGCATCCTGAGACTTGGACAAATAAAGACGGGAGACAACAGATAGCATCGATGAAGTTCTTATTGGTGGCGACGTGGCTCGAGGCTGTTTGGGGTTGTTTGGCTGTTTCAGATTGTTAGGACGATATATATATATTTATATACATCTACTGAGTACGGAGTGCATCCCTGGCAATATTTCCAAGCCTACTATTTCCAGCCAACTCGCGTCAGCTGATCAATATATGTACAGCTTTTCAGTATCTCTATATCAACCACATATGTGTGCGACCCCGACCGGCATTCACACTATCGAGATCCCTTACCTACCACTCCTCTTCACACACCTACTCTCGATATTTGTTTGACCGTCTTTTGATTGTGCTTGACGACACACACACAAACTATGGTAAGCCCAAGCCCCGCGAATAAAAACCGTTTTGCGGCAGTGCCGGGCGCAGCCCTGCTTGTGCATATGTATATGCACGCCGAGAACTCGGATGCAGGGTAGCCTGGGCTGGGTGGGAGGTGGCTTGTAAGCGTAGCGACGCCAACTGTGACATACTGTTCTACTCAGCTGGGATTCTGTAGTAAGAGTGACCAAAATTGAGGAACTCAATTGATATATTAGAATAACGAAAAGATCGGCAAGATTTGTCTTCCCTGAAACTGGGGTCATCATTTTTTCATTAAGCTTCGCAGCCATCCTATAAATACAATAGTAGGGATCTAGACCGATCTGTCTATAATTACAGCCTACGAAAGCAAGTATCTTGCATCTCCAAGAGATGTAGACCCGTATGATGGATCACTGCACCCACGGAGCGAACTCCAAGTGTACCGCGATGAGTAATGGGACCGAATTTAATCTTCCCCACTTAAAATAAGCCGCATACCACGTCGTGATATGATCAAACCCCGCAGGGAAAGAACGGTAAGGGCCAGAGTGTTGTGGGGGTTTCCATCGAAGGAGACTGTCGGCTACGCCGGGTAGCCTTCCACCATTCTCATCGCGTAGTAAGAAGCAAGAGAATCATGAAAGGAGAATGAGGGAAAAAAGAAAAAGAGAAATACAACCGGAAGAACAAGCAGCGAGCTGATTCCATTTGTCCAATTGAACACTCGCAAGAGAATTAAGAAAAGGTATCAAAGGTCATGACTCATGAACATTTTTGGTTTGGGTTGAGAAACCGTTCGTATTCTGCAACTAGCATCTCATCATTAAGAAATGCACGCCTTAGAAATCAGACAGGCCACCTCTTTTTTGACACTCGGGAGTGAAATAATTTATTCCTCGGGAACTAAGACATTATTAGTATTGATCAAGTGACACACAACCGAGTCAACTCACTGTCAATCTCGCCAGCCTTGACGTCGTCGGAGACATCCTTGGGGCTGCGGCCATCGACCTGGCAGCCGACAGAGAAGGCAGTACCGAGGATCTCGAGGACGGTACCGCGGAGCTCCTTGGCCATGGAGCGCTCACGCATGACGCGGGCCATGTCAATGACCTCGTCCAGAGAGACGGACTTGGAGTGCTTGATGTTCTTCTCCTTCTTGCGGTCACGGGGAGGCTCCTTGAGGGCCTTGATAACCAGGGAAGAGGCGGAGGGAACAACGGAGACGGCGGCCTGACGGTTCTGGATGGTCAAGCGGACGGTGACACGGATACCCTTCCAGTCGCCAGTGTTCTTGGCGATGTCTTCACCAATCTTCTTGGGAGACAGACCGAGGGGACCGATCTTGGGGGCCAGAGCGGACTGGGCACCGACCTCACCACCAGTCACACGCAGGTGGCTATAGTAAAGATTATTAGTATTTTGAGGGTTGGTGTTGCGAAAAGAGAATTTTTCACTTACATGATCTTCACCTCATTGGGATCAAACTTGGGAGCTAGACCACGAGGGAATGTTAGTCGCCATCATGCAGAAACCAGGTTGATGATACTTACGCATGGCGAGTGCGAAAGGTAGTCGATCTTCCTTGGTTGTCGAAGAAGTTGGTTACAGAAGAGAAAAGGGATGAGCGCGAGAAATTGACTTGAAGGACTGGCGTGCTAGCGGGACCCACTCGACCGACCAACTAAGCGAGTGGCCCAATTGGGCGATCAGGGCATGCCCTTACCACGTGACCAACCTAGAGGTGGTTACCTCTTTGGGTATTCTGTATCTAAGTGGGGCCGCTACTACGTACAGTTCTTACAAAGCTTCAAGATGAAACACAAGTCTTTTGTCATGGTATCAATCCATTCAATCTACTATATTGCGTCAAAGGAGTTAAATCACCGCTAAAGATACACAAGACCCGAGGGTCGACGACCGCCCTTTGCTCTCATGGCCATGTCTCATCACACTTAGCTAGTTCCGGATACAGCAAGCCTAGGCAAATGTTAGCAAAGATCCACATAAGCTACTCAGGGACCACTCACTTCATCAGGTGGTCCATAAATGTCTGCAGCGACACGTCGTCAGTGAAGATGGTCTGAGATGACACACCCCCACCATATCCACCCGTGGTGTGGGTAGTCGACGGGTTCAGCTTGGACAGCAAGAAACGGGCTTGAGAACCACCGGCATCACAGACGATGAAACGGGGCAGAGGGAACCGGTCAGCAATAAGATCCTGCAACACATGAGTCAGTTAAAATAAGACATAAATTTCGGAAAGGTGGAACGAACCCTAGCGTCCTCCTTAGGCTGCTCAAGGAGCACCTTGAGGTTCTCGTACCCTTCCTGGTCCTGGTAACCTGCTTTCCTCCATTCGGCAATGGTCTCACCGTGGAAAATGAGGATGTGGAAGAAGGTATCGAGGAGAAGAATGTGCGCGGGCTGGATAGAAGCGGAGTCCAGAAGCACGGGTTGAGCTCCCTCTTGCTCCAGGGAATATGAGTCGAGGGTAGGCTGGATCATGACAAGAGAATCGCCGGCATCCTCGTGGTTCAAGACATGTCGGTAGAACGCAGTCTCATCAGGGGAGTTGTTGAACACCTGCAAGAACTGGCTTCGGCGAAGATGGAACATGAACTGAGGGTAGAGGGTGAAGTTCTTTTCCAATCGGAATGATGTTGGGTCATCCTTGCGGTAGTCGGCAAAGCGAGAGCAGAGTCTGATCAACATCCGGTCAACCCACCGCAGAACATCAGGGCCGTCATCAACCTCGGCCTTGAAGACTGCGATACGGGCCATGAGAACAGCAGCAGCCTCCTGGTCGAAGGATTGTGCCAGGGTTGGGTCACCCGCAGGCCCGCTCAGGGGGCGAGCAGTGGTGGTCACCCGCAGGTGGTAGTGCCCGGAAGAATGCTGGTAGTATGTCAAGAACTGCATCATACCCCGCTGAGGACCAGGCTGCACGGCAGCGGGACCGCCCTGATTGGCAATCTCGAAGTAAACACCATAGCTGGAAGAGGGGTCGATACCACACATCTTCCACGCGCATGTGTTACCGATACCACATTCTGTCTCGCCAACTGAGCTGGACTTCTTGTTCAGGGAAATAGCGTGGCCGATAAGACCAGTAACCTTGAGCTCCTTAGTTGTGAGAACCTCGAGAGATGCGTTGAAGCCCATCAGGAGGTTGTCGTTGGCATCCTTGTCGAACACGCGCACGAACGACTGCTTGAATTGTGACGAGGTGAAGCTATCCGTGAGAAGCATGTGACCTCCGGTGTAATTGGAGAGGTTCTTCATTTCCAAGAGACCAACTTGATCGAGACAGCCGGCGAAGATATCGACAATGTGGCCATTGTTGGCAGCCCGCTTGGCAAGGGTGTCGTAGAACTATACTTCAGTTAGCATGAATTCAGACAGGCTGGCGCATTCGAAGCATACCTTGACAGCCTTCTTGTAGTACTTGATGTTGTCCCGGTCAATGTCGTGGTGAGAACGGATCGGCTCCTTCAACTCGGGCGAAACAACGTGACCAGGGCCTTCAGTGGCAGCACCACTGGTGAAAGTCATGATGCGGGCTCCTGCATTCTGGAAAGAAGTCTCAAGCAGACCAACGGCGACGCTCAGGGCGACACCAGTGCAGCGCAGGGGACGCTTATCATTGGCCACTGGCCAGGGATCACGCTGCAATTGCTCGAGAACGTTGGTGATTTGGAATTCGGCCTGCTGAACGGGCATGAGGAAGCGGGCGGCCGGGCCGAGGGGAGGACGGGCGGGTTGCTGCTGAGGAACACCGGGGCGCACGCCACCGGCCAAGCCTAGCATCTCCTGAACTTGCTTCGCGGTGTATTCCTTGCTGCCTCGGAAGACGTATGACTTGGCGCATTCCGTGTAACCGAGCTCATGAACTTGGGCCTAAACAAGGTCAATAAAATGCCACCTCCCGTGTAAAGATCGTTATCCTACCATTGTGCCGAAGGTAATTAGACCAACCAGCGCATTTGGAGGGAGAAGAGACAAGCTCATAATGAGCGAGTCCTTCACAGCCTGCAGGCTGTCATCTTCCTGGCAAGTATCGACGACAAAGACGAAGATCGGGGGAGCGGGGGCAGGCCGTGCCAATTGATACTCGATGGTTGTGCTCTGCGGGTGGAGTTCGGGGGGTATCGTGTTCTCCGTGATATCCTTGTAGTGCGGGGGAAGAGGATTGCGCGAGAGACAGAAAGGACAGATCCAGATTCGTGCGCGGACATCCACAGTGCTAGCTCAAGGTCAGTTCCTATCCAATCCGGGGTATCGCCTGTACATACGCATATGGGTTCAGCACGGCTCGGCAAGGCTGCTTGCAAGTGACGGGCTCATATTGGAGCAATGGGTTGTCGGGCTTCTCCTTCAGAGGTGTGTACACGGCGGCAATAGGAACGACCAGGCGGGATGCTTCCTGTATCAAGTCTCAGTGGATGATGCGGTGAAGGTCAGGGTCGAAAACACGAACCATACGAGTGCTGGGGAAGGTGTTCCAGCTGAGTCTGATTCCATCGCGGTCCTCCACATCACTCCATTGATCCTTCAGCGCCTCGAAATCCATGTTGTCGGTAGATGTTCCGGATCTCGGTGTGTTGATCAAGAAGAGGGGGGCGGGTGAGAAGTCGCAAAGAAAGGGGAACTTCGGGTATTAGGGTCTACTCCAAGAAGCTAAGTAAGAGCACCACCCGGAGCATAATCCACCAGAAAGAAAAGAAAGAGCCCCGTAAATAGCTAGGGATTGGGTTGAAGTGGAGGAGTATGTTGTGTGAAGGTACGGCAGTAAGGCCAGGTTGCAGCACAACGGGTCTCTACCGCCCGCCGGACCAAAACATTCCTTAAAAACTCGGCGAGCCGCTGATCATTTTCTCTTCTTCATTCACGCCGACCAATTTACGTGCAAACGTATATACACAACAGCTTCGTCTTCTAATGATGTCGTTGTTCTCGCGGTGAGCGGAGATCGACTAGGCCCGTTGCTGGGCACCTGGTTTTGAAAGGTCATTCTGATCCTTTCGGATCTTCTGGGAATCAGCTGTGGTCACACTCCTTAGCTCTTCAGCTACCTTAGCTTAGCTATTGGTAGAATTATAGTCCAATTAATCAATATTCGCATATACAATGCTTCCCTAAACGCCTATTGCCTATTGAAACATGCGAACTGCCCATAACCTCATGAAAATTTGACATCTGAGACTCAATTCTCCTTTGGCGCCCTGGCCATCTGCTTCAGAAGGAAGCTCCGCTTGAAATATGTGTTCGGGTGAACAATTGTATCAAGATCTGTCTGGCTCCACGTTCCATCCTCCTTGACCTTCTTGATCTCGTTCTTGTGCGTTGACTCGAAGACTCGGTTGCATGCAATGTGGTACCGCTGCTTGCCAACATCCTCGCGCACACCTCGCAGGGTCTCTTTATCATTGACACCTGTGGCCTGGAGGAAACCAACCAGGTTATCAACAGAGAAATGACGATAGGGACAGCCGTGAGTCTGGCCAATGCCGGGGTTGGAATCGCCGAGGATCTTCTGGCACGAGTACGGAGTATAGCCCTTTCCGCGACGGTTCACATCTCCACCAACTTCACCATAGGCGTGGCGAATGTTGTACTTGTATTGGGAGTTGAATTCATCATCGGTTTTACCCTTGAAAGATTGGCGCCAAAACAGAATACACTCCTCCAAGGATAAACCAATACCCTTTAGGAAAAGTGTATACTGGAGACGACCAAAGTGCTTCAGGTGGTTATTCTTCCGCAAATTCACATGCAAGCTCTTCATGCACAGAGGGAAGTGTTGCTGTGCAAGCTGATCAATAGAGCTGGCTGTAATTGGTGCTCCGTCCACATATCCTTCGCCCTCGGAGTATACCGATTCGGCGCTGCCGAAGTTCTTCGAGAGGTGGTTCAGAATGGGTGTGAGACGATCATCCTCGTCCAACCGGGGGAGAGCACGACTCGTGAGCTAAAATATAATCAGCAACCCATCTTTCAATCTACTCCTGCAGACATACCTCAAGTGCACGCTCCAAGCGAGCAGTGAACTCAGCCATGATCATGCTCAACTGTTCCCTTCCAGGAACATATGCCTTTCCTTTTTTCAAGTAAACTGACCGCCGTTCGATCAGCTCCGGCACCTTCTCCCAGTCGACTTTGTACCAAGTCTCCTCATCCACTCGACGTAGCCCCGGGGTGGAACTGGCCAGGCTCTCCGCAACCTCAGTCCTCTCAAAGTCACTGACTGGCTCCCAGTCTAGACTAAGGCTATCAATAAATGCACGCTTCTCCCTTGAGTCGTCCAGCTGGAAACGGAATCTGAAGAGCATGGTCTCGGCGCGCGCGAATCGCCGACGGAGGTCCTCCGTAGCCGAGAAGGCCAATCGGAGGATAAAGTGGGAATAGTGGTCCTTTTGGCGCTCATTTTTCAAGCGCAGATCGTTGGCGCCATTGGGAGAGGATGTGTTCGATGAAAGAGGGAGGAATTTCTGCAAAAGAGGCGTGATGTAGGTGGCCGTCTCCGCGGGGGATTTGTTGCGATAAGAGCATGCTTCGATCTCGGCCAGGACTGACTGCGCGTTAGTAGACTGGAAACTTCAAGATCATGCAGTTAGGCATACTCTTCAGTCTGTCAATGGCCCATTGTTCGAACTGTTCGAGGGTGATTTCGGCAGTGGGAGGCGTCTCATAGAAGTTCAGACGATGGGGATACTCCTGCTGCTTGTATATTGGGACAGCGAACTGTCTTTTCTTATGGTCGATCACAGCCCGCCTCTTGGGGTCGATACGATGAGCGTCTTGTCGAATCATGGTGCTGTTTCCAGATGTTGAACAGAATGAGATCTCCGTCACTAAATTGGTCAACGCGACGCGTGCCACGCGCGAGAATAGTCACGTGATATAATCCACGGTATGCTTATATAATCGAGCGTATGCCCGGGGCCTCCAGCCTGGGAGGGCATGTGCAAAGCATGTGATGCTGTCCAGCTCATCTTATACAAGCTGAAAGTCCTTGATCATATGCCAGAAGCCACATCTGCCTCGTGATATCGTAATATTTGACACCTGGGGTATATCTCTTCAACATTTCCCCATTCGTACAGCCCTCGGAGCATCCCGCTCACCGACAGCCGAAAGAATCTAGCTAGCAACCCCACAGAATCACATTCTCTTGATGCTATTGCTTATCTTTCTGGAGCTCTCCAATCCCTCCATGATGCCATCGCAATAGGGCCCCTTGCATACTCTCTTCATCCGCGGTTTTTGCTGCGCCATCCCAACATTTGGACCGAATCTAGGAACGGGACACCCAAGACACCCATTAACTCCGATCCCTCCGCATCAACATGTCGCCCGCGAAGCGGCTCACCAAGGCTGCCCGTATCATCCTAATTGGTGCCCCGGGTGTAGGAAAGGGCACACAGTCCGAGCGACTGCTATCCCGCTTCCCACAGCTAGCCTCAATCAGCTCGGGTGATCTGTTGCGCGAGAATGTGCGCCGACGCACACCACTCGGTAAGCAGCAGACCAGTTGCGCATGGAAAGCATATATCTAAACCGAGTGCAGGTGTCCAAGCTGAAGCCGCAATGCAGTCCGGCAACCTCGTTCCAGACTCTATGATTCTGAACTTGATCTCCGATGATATGAAATCCAAGGGCTGGCTCCTACCACAATCCGAATCCTCACATTCAGCGACCTCATCCTCCCCTTCAATTGATTCCTCCGCTTCTTTCATTCTCGACGGGTTTCCCCGCACAGCAAGCCAAGCAACAAGCCTGGACAGCTTAGTACCTGTGAACTTTGTCGTGCACCTCAACACTCCGCCCTCAGTCATCCTCTCCCGAATCGCATCCCGTTGGGTCCACGAGCCCTCAGGGCGGGTGTACAACACAGACTTCCACCCACCCAAGGTGCCAGGCAAGGACGATGTCACAGGCGAGCTGCTGACCCAGCGACAAGACGACTCCATCGAGACATGGCAGCAGCGGCTACGAAAGTTCGAGGAGACGAGCAAGGCTCTCCTAGAGCACTACCACTGCCGAGGTGTCCTCTGGCGGGTAGAGGGCAACAGCAGCGACGAGATCTCGCCGCAATTATTCGCAGAATTCGAAAAACGATTCTGCTGACTGTGAATGATGCATGTATACTTATTCTTGTACGTTTTCGGACGAGATGATGCATGATGATCCCTAGAGCAAGGGATACCTTGAGTTTTAATACCCGTTTAATGGGGACGTGGGAGATAGCTCCAGCGCATGTACAGCTAACTCAATTGGTGTATGATAATCAATATTCAACACTCTGTTTAATCATAATCACATTCCATAAATGTACAAAAAAGGAAGTAGTCATATACCATCTCGTCAAATGCAAATCAAGCCGCAAGTCCAGCTATCACGACTTCTTCCCCTTCTCAACCAACACCGAATCCCCCATCCCCATGCGATTCTTATATTCCCTAGGACTCTCCCAATTCCCCCCAACAGCACGATAATCTTTCCAAAGCCCCTTAGCCCTCTTCTTAGCCCACCACTCAGCCCTCCGATACTTCTTCTCCATCTTCTCCCCACCAAACTCAGACCCTATCTTCGCCTCGTATACAGTCGCCAGACCCTTCCTCAGCATTTCGTAAGAAACGTCCCTCCGTCGGAAAGGCGGGAAATCGAACGCCCGTCGCACGAATACGCTCGCTACAACGCGCGAGTACTGGTCTTGTCGGTGGACGAGGGCGCGTACGCGCCTGTTGGTTAGGTAGCGTGTTAGCCAGGCGTGGGCGTCGCGCGCGAAGGGTTGTTCGGGGCGGCCGAAGTGGGCGAGTTCGGGGGCGTCTATGCCAGCGAGACGGATGTGGATCTGTTGGGGGAGGTGGATGTGTGAGTTTGATTTGTTCTGTGGTGCTCTGTCTGGCTGTGGGTGCAGGTGAAGGGTAGACAAGGTAAAGGTGGCGACGAACAGTATTATCTTTCAAATCCTTCTTAGCAGTAGGAACCTTCTTCCAGGGTACCCATCCCCAACCAGCAAGTCGGCCACCGGGGGTATGGAAGATGCGAAAGTTATCGCCATCGCCGACGCTAGTAACCTGACCGAAGACGCTACGGCGACGGAGGAACGAAGGCGAGATGCTAGGCGCGTCTGGTATGCGGCGTAGGTAGGTTCGGTGGATGCGCACGGAGATCAGGATACCGCTTGTTAGGAGGAGGGTTGGGACTAGGGTTCTTGGTTCGAGGAAGGCTCGCCAGTCTAGGACGGAGCTTGGGTTGTTTGCGGAGGAGCTCCAGATTGATTGTTTTTCGTCATTGGTCGACTCGGAACTCCATGGCGGCCATCTCATCACGGCCCATGCCCCTGCTTTTTTGCAGGTTTGTGAGATCGGGGCGTGTGGTTGAGGTGTTTGTAAGTGGAGGGTGTTGTTGGGGTGATCGACGCGAGAGCTAAGCCGAGGATCTTCTGCTTGGGCTACATTGCCTTTGCTACAGTATTGAATGCTTCGAGTTTATGCTACTTTTACCAGTATACATGGTTTAAGAACTCTTATTGAAATTATGTAGTCGATTATCACGATTTTCATTACATGACAAAACTTCCGTGAAGTTCACACACTGTAGCTGGGTGAGACAATATCACATCGGCTTTTTTATTGTCCTCGGCCACAACAATAATGCACAGATACGAGATGAGACCCAAGAGATAGAAACACGATCTTCTATCAACAAGTTCTTTACATTCAAGTGTCTTCAAGTGTCTAGACTGTACAGAAACAAATTGTGAAAGAAGAACCAAGGCGCCGAACATAACAAGCATAGAGACCGAAATGCAAAATAGCCGCCTTTCAATCTAAGGAGACGAAAATTATTTCAAGGTGGCGGGTAGGCTAGTCTTAGCCTTTAATGCGGCAGTATCGACTGCCTTTCGCAGCTTCTCCTTCTTAATTCTCTGGAGGTAGGCAAACAAGACGATGAAGAGAAGTTCCATTCTATGAAACAGTCAGCAAAGAAACAAAAGTCAACAGAGCTTTAGAGTGATCATACCTCTCCTTGGTCATCATGAGCAGACCTTGGACCAAAAGGCCCTTCAGAATCTGGGGTCCAATTCCCTTGAAGAGTGACAGAACACCCTCATTATCGATAATGAACTTCATGACCTCACCAAAGGTCTTGAAGGGCTTGCCATTGCGCTCTGGTGGCGGGCGAGACTGCAGACCAACCTTTGCGACGATCAAAGGCTGGGTTGCAATAGTGGCCAAAGCCTTGGACATGGCGCCGAGGACTTTCTTCGTTAGCGGGCCATCTTTCAGGCAGGTGGTATATCACTCACGGAATGCCTCCCAGGGCTTAAGGTTATTTTTCCCGGGGAATATAACCTCCTTCAGGCGCTGATAGGCACCATATGTGATAGCAGGGTTGACGACCAAGATCAAGCTAGCCTTCAGGCCGCGCCACAGGCCGGACCAGCCGTCCTCACTCTCGACCACCTCGCGACCAGTCTCGATCAGGCCCTTCTTGTCGCCCTTAGGCTGTGTCTGCTGTCGGGTTGTGATGACAGCCACCGGGATGGTGAAGATCTGAGCGACGGCACCAGCAGCAGCACCGAGGGAAAGCTCGATCGCTGTACCGGGGGGCTTTGGCGACTTGGCCGAGGCCATGTAAAGCGTTCTTACAACGCTATACCAGTAGAAGTATGCGAAGTTTGTAGAGGCGACACCAAGCAGGGCTCCAGCCATGCCAGAGTACAGACCACTGACACCTTCCTTCTCCACGATCTTGTTGATAGCATCGACGGTCGATTCATAGCGGTCTAGGTCATCGTTCTTCTCGGCTCCGTCCTTTTGCTTGACCTGTACTTGCAGTTTGGTTTTTACACTAGATGAAAAGAGAATAAGTAATCTCGTCCCAACATTTTGGCAACTGGCGCATGTAGTGGGCTCACAGATCAAGCGGATAGACCATTGCATTCGCGAGGACGGCGCCCGTCGCACCTGCAACAGCACTGCCCCATGGCGAGAGTGTGGGCTTCGATTGACCGGCCATGGTATATGCGAAGGGTATGTGGAATTAAGAAAGGTCGACGAGAGGCTCAGGAGAGGGCTCGCTTGCGGAGCGGCCTGTAGTTAGGGGAAATAGTTTAGCGGGGCCGTACTGCTTGCTCCGAGAGAAGAAAAGCGCAGAAGAGAAGTGTAACTCAAAAGGAACAGTGCATACCGAGGACACCCGAGTATCAAAGCCAAAGAAACCGAGTTCGGAATTACCTGTTACTGCACATTGCACCTCGGCGCTCACCTTAAAACTTGCCGAGGTCCACTCGGTATCCATGCGCCATATCACGTGATGGTATTTATCAGATCTACTTTGTATCATACATTTCAACGTTTAGTCGCATATTCTCTCATGGGTTTTATAGAAGTCCGAGCATGTTGTTGGTACAATTATACCACTGCGAGTCATCTTTGGTTGCAAAACGCCTATATTTACGCTTATTCCCTCTACATAGACCCTAGCTCTATATGCCTGGAGACATCGGCATTTGAGAAATATCTCACATTCGTACTTTCGGAGGGCTCTTCGATGTCTACGCTAACACTTCGGTAAGTAACGTATTCCCCTACCGAGCTGGCCACCCCCCCCGAGCTGGCCACCCTAGAACACCATAGTAAATGCGATAAATTACAACATAGTATCACAACAACGGCAGGTTATAGGGACTTTTCCTTAAAAGCTAATGCTTTTTAGATGGTATTTAGTCTCTAACGGGAGTTTAAAGAATTTCTATATCTTATTAATTCAGATATAGTCAGATATTTATATTTCTAGCTCCTAGCAACGTAATTTTCGATACCGTAACAATGTAGGTATCAGATTTCGTCAAAATTAATATGTAGCGTTGAAAAGCCTTATCAACAGCTATCGGCAAATAATTAAATAAAATGAAAACGTGGTTGTTGAGATATCAGTGTAGAATATATCGTATTTACTATGGTGTTTTGGGGTGGCCACGTTAAACTATACCCCAAGGGCTGTACTTTCAACTTCTTGCCATGTTACACCGCCTTCCTTAGATAGATCTTAAGTGACGCAGTGTAGACAATTAGCCGTAAAGAAGTATAGTCGAGCAGAGATGCCATCGTTATAGGGCCTGCTGTTAAACATAGGCCCTCATGCATTTATGATATAACCATTCTTCTCCTATATTCTCTTCTCTATACCAGTTCTTCCACTACCCTCATTCCTTTCTTCTACAAAACCCGCCAGTATGTCAGGGCCGCAACAACCTCACATATCGGAAGCCTTAGTACATGAGCTCCTCTCCAGATGCAAAGAGACGGCTAACAAGTTGATAGAAGGCCGAAGATGGGATAGCGGGGGCGACCTCCCAGAATGCGGCATTGGAAGCGGCTATCACTGCCGCGGAGCATTACATGAAAGCCTTACGCCTGGCCCCCGCCGACGAGAAAAAAAAGCTCGATGCCAAATGTAAAGAACTGATCATCCGGGCTGAAAAGATCAAGCGCGCCACTGACTGGCAAGCTGTTGCGCCCCAAGCCTTTCCGAGTTTACGCCCGCCTACATCCACGCGGAAGCTCACCACCCGGGAAGAGATCATTATTCTCGAGGGCGCGAAACTAAATGGCTACATATTTCCACCCTGGAGTCAAGCACCGAACGAAGATGAATTCATCCTCAAAGATCGACCTTTCACGTATGTGGAGAACTCAATCAGTAACCATTCGAATCTTCTAATTGAGTATAGGGATTCACCCGATCTGCACCTCTCCGACGTCCAGAGAGATATTTTTGCAGGATGGAAACGACCGCATGATCTACTGAAGAATGCGGCTAATCCAGGTGCAACTAGCCCAACTATCTCAGCTTCCGGGCAAACCGATCTTGTGCAAGATGTCTTGACTGATTGTTCAGTTGTGGCCAGCTTATGTGCCACAACTTCTCGATCAGAACGAAGACTGGGACAGGTATGAGCTCAGTCAACTCCATAATACTGACTCAAAGCTAACATGAACAGAATGCGACACCTACAATGTATCCGTGCAATGATGAAGGGAACCCAGTCTTATCGCTGTCTGGGAAGTACATATTCCGCTTATATTTCAACGGATCATTCCGCAGGGTAGTTATTGACGACCGACTGCCTTCATCCAAGACCTCACGTTCACTACATGTGATCGATCGGAAAAATCCCAACTTTTTGTGGCCCGCTCTTGTTGAAAAAGCATATCTGAAAATCCGAGGCGGCTATGATTTCCCCGGAAGCAACTCAGGTACTGATCTATGGGTGTTGACCGGATGGATTCCCGAACAAGTCTTTATACACAACGACGATTTTACCTCAGATGAGATCTGGGGCCGTCTATACAAGGCCTTTTACCACGGAGATGTGGTTCTCACTATTGGAACCGGCAGTCTGACCGAAAGCGAGCAGCAAGGTATGGGCTTAGTGGGCGAGCACGACTACGCCATCCTTGAATTGAAAGAATCCCAGGGGCGTCGCCAGTTTCTCTTGAAAAACCCGTGGGCTGGGGCGGATCCACATACACCGAACAATCTCGACCTTGATCCTAGCAAATCTCCTCTTGCTCCAGGGACCTTTTGGATGGACTGTGAGCAGGTGTTCCAGAACTTCGAAAACCTCTACCTAAACTGGAATCCTGGGTTGTTCAGATACCGCGAGGACATTCATTTCACATGGGACTTGTCTCATGGACGTGTTATTTCCGGCTGCTTCGTCAAGAATCCACAGTTCTCCCTCTCCAGCGAGTCCGGAGGCACGGTTTGGCTACTACTTGGGCGGCATTTCAAGACTGGTGAGATTCAAAGCGCGATAGGCTTCATCAGCATCTATATATTCCAAGCAGATGGCCGAAGAGTGTCCCTGAGTGATGGATACCTCCACCGTGGTCCATATGTTGACTCTCCAAACACTCTAATGCGATTGGAAATGCCTCCCAAGTCAAGATGGACCGTGGTGATTTCAGAGCAGTCTCTCCCATCATCCAGCCAAAGCTTCACACTGTCGTCATTCTCGACCTCCCCTGTATCAGTGGCTCCGTCGCTAGATAAGTATTTATGCGTGACAAAGGCAAGCAGTTCCTGGACTGCAATGACAGCCGGCGGTAACGCCGAGTCACCTCGATACCACTCGAATCCACAGTTCAGCCTACAAATTTCCGAGAGAACGGATGTTTCCATTTTGCTCGAGGTAGCAGAAGCCGAATTAGCGACGCACGTGAAGCTTTTCTGGTCGAACGGTCAGCGCATCTCACGAGTGCGAAGCCGAGATATCATCGCAGATAGTGGTGACTACCGCCGGGGATGTGCGTTGGCCGAGACCAAATCCCTAGACAGAGGCACTTACACCATTGTATGCTCTACCTTTGCGGCTGACCAGCTCGGTCGCTTCACGCTGTGGATTTCCTCCACGATCCCGTGTGTAGTGCAACCATTGGCTTCCGAGTCCGCTGGACGGCGTGTCGTCTTATCTGACGTCGGTGTTTTACCGCCGGGTAAAGATCGCATGTTGGCGTCGCTACGGGTGTCTCGCCTAACGCGAATCCGTCTCATTGCGAGGAATAAACAGTCTACGATCGGCTCTCGGGCTGTTGCTCCATCGCCTGTACTGATGACCGTGGAGCTGGGCCAGGGGCCATACAAAGAGATCCTAGCCACCTCGGAGGATGGAGTTCACAGTGATACAGTATCAGGAGTCCGAGTGGAGGACTTCGATCTGTATCCCAACGCCGAGTCGCGCAGTGTCTGGGTTGTGATTGAGCGTATCGGTGGACCCGGAGGACAAGTGGAAGACCATTTCGAAGTTGAGGCGCTGGCAGAAGAGAAGGTGGAGATTGGAACGTGGGCGATAGAAGATGAATGATACCCAGAGCGCAAAGTAGAAATGCAAGATTACATTGTATAGAGATATGAGATATCTCCAAAATCGAGTAGTCCCCCGCACCGGGCGGTGGGAACCCAGTCCAAACGTCATCTGTCTCCTCTCCTCTCTCCTTTACCCACCAGAGCTCAACATGAATAACATCCCAGCTGGACTACGGTCCGCCGACATTGGGCGCTTCGCCATCCGGGCTGCCCAGATCGAAAAGGCCAAACCGGTGGTTGCCTACTGGTGTGAGTGTCCCCGCGCGCGCAACCGGACATGTTGATTGAACCCCAACGCAGGCAATTTCCATATCGTGAATCAAATCATTGAAAGGGGCCTCCACAATTCCGACGATGAGATCATGCAATACACCACCAATCTGGTGGATAAATTGGAGCAGGTAAGTCGGTTGCCCCGCCTGTATTGCCGTGCTCCTAAAGCAGCGCACCTTGGACTGGATGGCTGATCTTATTGAACTGTGACAGTTCAAAGTTGAGCACCCAGGGGATGAGACGGTGACAGATGAGGTCGCAGCGAGTGCCTATGTCGAGCAATTTGGACTGGAAGTCTTTGGTCGCGCTGAAGCTGCCATGAACGCCAACAAAGTCACAAAGTGAGCCCTTGGAGTGCCACACAAAACCACAGACGACTGACTCTGCTCAAAGGCAAACAGCAGATACATTCCAGGCAGCAGCTACTTTTCTTGAACTATGCTCAATTTGGGGTGCCGACCCGGAGATAGCTGGGCGCATCAAGTTCGCCAAATTCCACGCCCTTCGCATCGTAAAGGCCTTCAAAGCTGGCGAAGACCCCAATGAGACGAATCCCGCACCGAAACAAGAAGATGAGCTCATTGACGATCCCGAGGTGCAAGCATTCGATGAGTCGGTCGCAGAACATGCCTCCAAACCAACACAGCCATCGATCGAAGAGATCCCAGACGAGTCAGACCGTCTTGGACGAGACCTAGCGCGCAAGTCAACCCTAGACGAGTCGCTTCATCCGTCCCGCACTTCATCAGCACCCCGTCCAACGGTCACCTCCGAGCCTGAGATCCCCTCCGTCCCAAGCAACGCACCTGGCTCTCCCCCTCAGTCAATGGATATCGACAACTCCGGTCCAGGCCTAGAACTCCCAGATACCCCAGCAACGATTGGAGGACCCTCCTCAAGACCAGGCCCTAACCTCCCAGATACCCCCACAGCCTTCCAATCATTCCCCCCACCATCCACCAACCCATCCGTAAACCCGGCTTCTTTCTATGATCCCTCCAACAACGCTAGCGCGCATCTTCCACCCCCGGCTGCTCCGCCAGCTGCACCGGCCCCAGCTGCTTACACACCTTCCGCGCCTGCACCTTATGTACCCCCTCAGCCGTCCCATGGAATAGACGATAACACGGTTCAGTTGGCGCAGAAGCATGCTCGCTGGGCTGTCTCTGCGTTGACATTTGATGATGTTGATACCGCCATTAAGGAGTTGAAGAACTCGCTCAAGTTACTCGGTGCGTCGTGATGTGTTTTGGTATGGATCTTATTGCTATTTTGCGCTGTGGATATACCTTTCATAACTAGTGAGGCATCTCATATCGCCTGGAACAGTATGAGACGCTAATTTACCTCCTTTTTGTACCTTTCTCAATCAAGTAAGAAGCTAGGGATCCTGCATGCCCAATGCGTCGGTGAGCAAGCTCAGCCGATATCAATGCGGTGCCCGCATTTGGAGCTTGAAGAATTGGCACATCATTGCTGTCTGCAGTGTCGTGTATCCAACTAGTTTGTCCTCGCGATTCCTGATTCCTGACCGATTTGTCTTTACTGGACCACCGTGTTCTGTATACTCGCTCGGCATCACTCAGTGATAAGAGGTTGAATTGTATGCCATAGCCGGGGACGAGTTTCACACAATCTGGAGCTTGAACGTGATCAGGTAAATCAGGTCAGCCAGTTCAAAGCGCCGAGATTGTTATAGCTTTCCTGGGTTGAGGATCGCTGCCTCGAGGTCATTGCTGTCACTAAGTCCTTCCCAGTGATAGTCCGGCCAACATTAGTTTGGTCCCCGATTTGGCGTGAAATTGCTGCTATTTCGCAAATCACGAGGAATTATGAAGCTGAATGAGCCCTGCGAAGAATTCTCCCTTAAGGGACGACTGAATCTTGTCAAACTCGATTAGATGCTCAACTTGGGCAATGTCCCGAAATGGTTCGGAGGCAAGGCGGGTTCTTCAGTGTTGAGGAATACATATTGGAATGTCTTGCGTACTGATATGTCGAAGTTTTGATTTGTCAGTAGACGCAGTGAATGATTAGCTCAATTATCATTGTAATGGTTGTGTTTGTCGTTGGTGTATAATTCCGTTGGCATTGGCCAGGCCATTCATTGTTGGCTATGTCGTCAAGGCCGCAGATTCATGGCAATTGCCACACCGTGCCATGCATGATACAATGATTTCATAATCCACATTTGATCATATTCTTCTGATAACTTCTCTCTACGTAGGCCATGCCCTGACTCACCTCATCCATGGATATACAATAAGGGAACCAGATAAGCGGAGGCTTAGCATCTCGGGCGATCGGAGCCCAGTACCATGGGACGGTAGACGGAGTATAGACAGCAGACAACTCCGTCCTCCGTTAGGTACTTATTTAAAACCGCTAAAGTCACTAACTCGCACTATATGCCCCCCCGCGACGTCACAGATTCAATTCTCTCAAACTTTCAAAATTGATTGTGCCCACTGTAACCCACTTGGTTCTAATAGTCAACGGCCTCGAGCGGGCTTGGCAGGGGATTTCAAGGAACTTTTAATCCCCCCTCTCCTTTCACTTTCCCCTTTTCACTCTCCTGAACTTGCGGGGTTGCACACAATGGAAAAGCCTGCTGTCTTGATTGTCGGTGGCCTTGGTATGTGTCTACTAGTTTCCCCCTCGCGTTCAGACTAACCCCTCTTAGGCTTCATCGGCCGCCATCTGGCACTATACCTCCACGAAAATGACTTGGCCTCCGAGGTACGATTAGTCGACAAAGTCCTGCCCCAGTTGGCTTGGCTGGCCCCAGAGTTTGCAGAGGCCTGTTCCAAGGACAAATTCGTCCAGGCCGATGCCAGTCGCGAACGTAAGAGACACACCCACTTTCTCCCACCCTGAGCCATCCTCACCAAAACTCTCTCCAGAACACTTCCCGCGCATTTTCGACCGAGCCAACGGCAAACAATTCGACTACGTGATCAACTGCGGCGGCGAATCACGGCACTCCCAACCAGACGATGTCTACGAAGTCCGCAGCTGCGCACTATCCATAGCGCTGGGCAAGGAGATCGCCCGCCGTGGCATCCCCGCCTTCATAGAAACCTCCACCGCCCACGTCTACAAAGGCGGCTCTACACCGCGCAAGGAAACCGACAAACTCGTCCCCTGGCACAAGCTCGCCGACTGGAAATTGAAGGCGGCGGAAGAATTGCGCAAGATTCCCGGCCTGCAGTACTGCGCCATGCGCCTGCCGCACGTCTACGGCGCCTACGACCCAGGCTACTTCGCCACGGGTATCTGCCTGTCAGCCGTGCACGTCGACCTCCAACAGGACCTGGTACTTCTGCACACTAAGGACCTGAAGGTGAACACGCTGCACGTCAAGGACGCCGCCAGCGCGCTGTTCGAGGCGGCCAAGTGGCGCGCCCGCGTGGGATACATCGACCCGAAGGAAGGGCCTGTCGCTTTCAACGTCGTCGACCACAACGACACACGACAGGAGCACGTCGCTAATGCGCTGACTGAGGTTTTCGGTCTCAAGGTTACGTTCGTTGGATCGCTTGCTTCCCAGCTTGCCAAGCTGAACCTCGACGATGTCGTCGATGATATGAATGAGATTAGTCTGCAGACTTGGGCTGAGCTCATTGAAAAGGCCGGCATCACACGGCCAGGACCGATCAGTCCGTTCCTGGAACGCGACGTCCTCAAGGACCAGGATATGTCGATTGACGGGTCGAAATTCGAGGCTGAAACTGACTGGAAGCCGAAGTATCCCAAGTTTGGCGCCGACAGTATTCGCGAAATCGTCGACAGTTATAAGCGCATGGGCTGGTGGCCATGAGGATTTTCCTTTTTTACCTTTCCATTTTGATCTTTCTTCTCCTTTAAGATATCCCGTCTGTCGGTTATTTTACCTTTTCTCTTCCTTTCTCTTCATTCTTCCATGATTCATTAACGGTCCCCCATATCCGATGAGGAAAAACTCTGTCATCGCATCACATTGTGTCTGAAAAGAAAGCGTTGAATTAACACGACACGACCCCGATTATGATCCCGTCCCTACACTCTCCTGCATCTTTCTCTACGTGACCACACAGAGAAGCAATTTATCTGCCAGGCAGATCAGGCGTGTCCAGCATTATATTCCCAGATCTGGATCTGCCTTGTACTGTAATCGATAATCCTTCTCGTTGGGTCTTCCCTTCTCTGGATCTTATTTTCTATGCATATATGCTTCAGTTCTCTCTCTCCTTACTTATTTTGCATTGGCCTGCGTGGCAGCATATTGGGCCCTTTCCATTTCTATAGTTCTAGTTTTGGTTTAGTATCGCTCTGTTATAAGTTACATATTTGGTAGTAGTAATATTTGAGATACTCCATCATTATCTATCTACATGTACGTACCAAGGGTTGCATAGATGATTAAAACAAATGACCACATGGCCTCTTCGGCTTATGAATCTAATTGCAGGGTATGGCTCCAGTCCCACTCGTTTCATACATGCATTGGCGCTGCAGGTATGTTGTGCAGGTCCCACAGATGGGCTATATCCACTACGAAGTACGTACAGTAAAGAAGTACAATAACTTATTTACATACTTGCATGGATATTGTTGAACAGAAATGATAGAATGCATTGCTATCTTTGTATCAGAGATCTACTAGTTGACCGAAAAGACGAAGGAGAACGGACAGAAATGTGCAAATGCCCGAATCCCATGCATATGCGAATATGCATCTAAGGAAGCCACCAAGTCAAAATGCGATTCAATGGTTGTCTTTTTCTCATTTTCTTCTTGAGGATTTCCTTTCTTTTTTTCTCTTCCTGGGATGCGACTGCGACCATCCCAGGTATTCATACCTATCTTACCCACTCCCACCCTGTCGTGCAAGCCCGTTCTGAGCTGACACGAATCGTTGCAATGTCAATGTAAGCATTTCTCTTCAAGCATGGTGTAAAAAGCAAGGGGCAAGGCAAATGGTGGAATTGAAGAATTATAGAACAGAATAGAGAGAAAGGCAACCGCTCTGCTATAGAGACTGCGAAAACCGAAAATATTGTACGAGAATGTAATGTGCGCGGAAAGTAGGACCTGCGCGGGAGGACTGTGGGCGTTTAGAATTCCCAGTCTTCCTCGACGGACTTGATGGCCCACTCGAACTTCTCGCGCAGGGCCTTGGAGAAAAATTTCTCAATGGGGACATTGAACTTCTTGCTGAAGACGACCGTTAGGCGAGGGTCGATATAGTTCTGGAAAAGATATTAGCAGATGATCAAATATGTAGGTGAACTCAACTCACAATCTTAGAGGTACCCAAGGCAACCTCCTTGTTATCTTCCTTGTCCTGAGCTTGGACAGACATGGTCTCAACACGTTGGTCGATCTTGGTGATCGCAGCTTCAAGCTTTTCGACGGTGGCACCCCGGGCCTCGGCCTCGACCTTGCCTGTCTTGTTCTCTTTCTTGAACTTCTTTTCCATCTCCTTGACAACCTGCAGACGTTCCTCTAGCTCTGTTGCCTTCATTTCTTTCTCGCCGTCGGCAACGCGCTTCTCGTTATCTTTCTCGAACTTCTTCTTGATTTTCGTGGTCTGCTCTTCCATCAGGAAAGCTTGGTGTTCATTGATCCACTCTTGGTCGAGATCTTCGTCAATTTCGAAGAAGGCAGCGCCCTTCTTCTTCTTCAGAGTTGGGTCCAAGTCGAGCATTTGCTGCTTCAGACGCCACTTCTGATAGCGGAGCCCCTTGATCTGTTGGAAGATGGATTAGTTTTTTGTACATATTGTCATCAGGTAAGTTTCAACTTACCCGTTCGCCCATCTTTTCCATTGCGTTAGCATGGCCGGCGGTAACTGTTCGCTTGTGGTTACACAAGATGGCAACCTTGCGGTTGGCGTCATTATACGCCTTCACCTTCTCGGCAATAGTGCTACCAGTCGTCTTGATTTCCTTGAGCACAGAACCCATTGTGTAGGATGCGTTGTAGGTACGGAAGACCTTAGCAGTCAAACCAGGCATGTAGTTCTGAAGATGCTTGTTAAGAGCAGAGGTCTGTCATTCGTTAGCAATATACATCTGACACGATGAAGATGGAAACATACCGTCAAGCGATCGAAAATTTCGTCACCGTTCTTCTTCGGGGCCTTCTTGAAGATCTTCAGGTTCTTGAAGACTTGCAGGTCGACCTTGACTTCATCGTAGAACCGAATACTATCTTTACCCAAGAAGTCGAAGACAACGGTCTGTGGGGGCTTCAGCGTAA